AGTCATTGCATCAAGTACCGCTTGACTCACCTGATGTCTGTTAGATTTTAGCCCCGAGTTCTGGTCCAAACATGTCACGAACAGAGTTACAACGGTAACAATCAAATTTCAATGGGTGATTCATTGTGATCAGTAGTGCGGTCTGCTCGTGGCGATGAATCAGTTTCAAGAAATAAATACATTTGCACATTTGTCAAACCTGATTAGACGGCTATAGATTTGGCAAACAAAAGAGCCAAAGGTGGCTATAGATGAAGCCACACATGTGTCGTAAAGAAGGTCAGAATTCGCACATAGTCAGTGAAACCTCTAGTGGACGCACGATCTGCTTCCCCTACGTTTCAACGACTCCGCTACCAGGCGGCAAACGTTTACTGTGCGGACCACACGCGTAAACACCCAGATAAGCGCATCCCGACGCAGACAATGAATCCCTTCGACTGTATTGAGACAGGCGATTGATATCATAGTGGGTGTGAAGCATCTTTTGGTGAAATGCCATAGTCACGATCATCTTGGATATAGCTCGCCTTGCGAGAACCTGGGGCTATGCTCATGCTTTCAATGTCCTTGTCCTTGCCCTTCGAGATGGTAAAAACGCTGAGCTGTCGGCTCTTGTCGAAAGCAGTGCTGCTGCTGCTAGTGCCAATGCTTTGGGCAGTAGAGTTGTAGAACTCGCTCGCAAACAGACGGTGGTGGGCGTCAGGACCTCTGCTAGCAACGCCAGAGTCGTGGTCTATGCCAGCCCAAATTGCGGAGAGTGGGAGGAAGACACTGACGATGGTCAAGACCGAGCTTCCAAGCTCAAAAGCGTTGGGAACGAATTGCATGCTGGTTATGATTGCTAGAGACATGTTAGTGAGAGCAGGAAGTGACAAGCAAGCAACGTACCTGGGACTATCATAGTCTGACAGCCCATGATGAAGACAACCTGCATTGGCCCAAACTGTGGCATGTTGAGGCGACGTCGCTGGAACATTGCGTATCCTAGCTTGTACGTGAAGACAGAGCTGTACACCCAAATGGCTATCACCTGGACGATGTAGCAATCCCTAACAAGATGTTCATTGGAGCCCAGTGCGGTTTGTGTGAGATATGACTTGATGTTGAAGACAGCTTGAGCGACCCTGTAACCGAAGGCGAAGCAGCCTGCGACTGTTGTCAAACCCATGACAACAGCTCGTCGGGCCGGGCTCGTTGTAACGCACACGACCCACACCTGAAGACTGAGCGACAAGAAGACCAGGAAAGTGAGCAAGATGGTCAGTAGTACGGTGACGATCGTAGTGGCGATGGTCGAGCTTGAGACAAGGCGGAAGTTGCCGGTGAGTTGGCTGTATGGATGATGCCAGCTACTGGTCAACAAGCAGGCCATCAGTAGGCAGCGGATAGCATTGACAAACAGACATAAGCCGTTGATGACGAAGATATACGACCTCCGCTTCGAAGCCTTTGTCAAGAAGAGGAGGACCAAGAGAAGGATCGCAGTTGCTCCGAATTGCGCACCGAAATTGATTCCGAATTGAACAAGGTAGACTTGCTGCTCTGCGAACCGGTTCAAATTGAAGTTGCGTACGGTACTGTTCTCAAAGACGAGGGTGACTTCCTGATTCCAGAGATCATCCGGTAAAGACATGGTTTGTAGGGTGTCAAGGTTGCGTTGAGGCCAGCTGTATGTCGAGCTGTTTTGGGTCGTTTCTGGTCGAAGATTGGGCTGGACAGGGCTAGAGGCGGCCTTTGGTGGATTTGGAAAGAGACAGTTGCGATAGTCGCGGAGGAAGGTGCCGTACAGGTTCGAGACCAGCAGTACAAGAGATTGTGAGAAGTCGGGAGATTAACAAGAGCGAAGTGATAAAGGAAAAACAGAAGTAATGTCACAACATTCGGCTTGCGTAAGAAGAACAATATACCGTCCCAGAAGCCGAACAATGTCGCCCTTCAACAATAGCTGGTAGAATCTAATGCAATCGTCTTCACAAACGTCGAAAACTCATCTACTGAGACACACAAAATCCTTACTATTGTCTCTTGCCTCTTCACCTCCGTTGCTTCTGGTCTCGGGTCGAAGTGGGCACAAGGCGTGACACTAAAGAATGGCTCGCCGCTGTGAGTCGTCTGTGCGATTGTCGCCTTCCACAAAGTGACTCAATCTCATCGTCGAGACTTGTCGGATGTGCCGTTTGCATGTCCATGTGTGAGTGTGATGGTTTAGCGTGGTATCCTTACTATTGTTCTTCGGCTCCTGGAGTCCAGGCTCCGAGACCCTTTGCTCAACCGCCCACACGACCGGCAGTACGATAATGAGTGGACGGGGACGTTCTTGTAGCAATGTGATGAAGCATGCGTGTGAAGGTTCACATGGTCAGACCGTGATTATGGCCAGCTGTTGCTGGCAGACTTACAGAGGGGAAGGCGCGACAAGGACCCAGGGTTTTATGCGTCCCAAAGCAGACTAGCGAGGTGTTTACCTTCTGGGTTGTTGCTGCACGTCATCGTTTAGCGCCTCACCATGCTTCTCGTGACAGCGCGTTCAAGATAATTTCTACCACGACGCGTCTATTCCTGATCACAACCATGTGGACGGTGACTGCGTTGAACGAGGATGCAGCAGGCTCGACACCAGTCAATCTTCAGAAAGATGGCTGCGTTCACATTGTCTTGTACAAATCCACTGTTGGAATCGTTCATGTCCCTAATTTGTTGCCTGGTATGCAGACAGAATTGGGTCGCATCAGTGGGTCCAAGGTCACGCGCTTTGATTGATAGTGTGTGCTAATCGTGATAGCTGTCGGCCCATGGGGTTTGAAACTCGAAGCCGTCTGTGAGACACTGACCATCATCCCCGACCACTCACACGCGGAAATGGGTACCTTGGCGTGCGAGAGTACGGACGTTGCAAAGTACGAGTTGAGCCCTCGGTCGGAAGAGCGATCAGAAATCCTTATCCTGCGACATGACGATGTGATACGCTTCCCAAAGTCTGCGTCTAGCGTTGTGTGCAAGTGGACAGCATCAGAGGTGCAAGTAAACTCCTCGGCTGCAGAGATGAAGGTCACGACGGAGCCAACCTCTATTGGTAATGCTGCAAGTCCTGAAGAGGAAACAGATGACGAGGGTCTGAATGAAGCGACAGAGATTGCGACCGTAGCACATCAGCCCAAAGCTACGCCAACCCCTCACCTTTCACATCAAAGATCAGTTATTGTGCAAGAAACGCCCACCGCAGACAGAGTCGTTGGGGTGACAGAGTTTTCTAAAACCATGGCAACTAAACAAGATGAGACAATCTCACTTGGTCACGCAGACTCATCAGCTGTTGCGGACTCCGTAGAGGACGAAGAAGACGCGGATACATACTCCACAGCGCACACCAGAACCGCGCAATCTGGAGACGCGCAATCTGTCACGATCATTGGTCAGCTCGAGAACACCACTGAGCCTGTTCTCGCCATAAAATCAGCCACTGATGCGGTACTGTCCCCGGCTAGGACTTCTCCACGGGTGCGAATTCCGCAAAGATTGTCCCGAAAACGTAGAAGTCCTACTCCAAACGACAACGACCTTGAACGAGGACAGGCTGACGAGGTTCAATCAAACAAGCGAACGAAACGAGACGCCGAGGACCAAGACGATACTCAAGACAGTCGTATGAGCGCAATCGACGTCCACGTGCCCAAGGAGCCCCGACCTGTCGTTGTTGCAAAGGGGAGGAAGCGTAAGTCCGAGATTGACCAAGCACCAGTTGAGGCTCCATCGAGGTCGCAAAGAAGTTCGCAGCGATCTACTACCGCGGTGGCTGACAGCAGATCTTACGGCGGCCCTATACCCCAAGTAGCTGTAAGCAAATCAAGTATTGGGAAGGCCAATCATGCCGTCAAGTTTCTCAAAAAGCAAGGCGGGTCATTTGTCGAGTCAGCTGAGGAGCCGTTCAACGTCCTCTGGTAGGTGCAATATTCAATCTTCAGCCGCCGATAATTGCTGAATACTTGCAGTATAAGAGATGGCGAGCTTGCAAAAACTCCGAAACTACTTCTCTCGATTGCCCGGGGTATTCCAATTGTGACTGACAAGTGGCTCATGGACTCTGCCAAAGCCGGGCATTTCCTTGACACTAACGCATACATACCGTCAGCTCCCAAGCAAGAGAAGGAATGGGACATTCAGCTTGACCGTGTCATTGGGCGCCCACAGACGCCATTCGAAGGCTACACTATTCACTTCACCAAGGCTGTCAAGGACACATATGGCGCATTTACGGAGATTGAGACTGTTTGCAAAGCGGCTGGAGCAAAGAAGACCATTGCATCGACTGCGAGGTTGAGTAAAGATGGTATGAGCATTGTCATTGCGATAAACGATGGCGACGCAGAGCTTGAAAAACTGTTGCAGGATGGCGTTACATGCTACTACAAGGATCTCATTCCGCAGAGTATCCTACGCGGGGTATTGGATCTTGACAGCGCGGAATTCAAGATTGAGGTCGATACTGCGCCCAAAGAGAAAACGAAGAATAAGCGACAGAAGAGCAAGTGATATCTCGGAGCAGCAAGGCGCCATTATGTCGTTCTCTAGGTCCGGGGAGATGACTGCAGGCAAAGATCGATTTCATGATTTATACTCATATGCATAGCGGGAGGCGCACAGTTTACAAGCGTACTGGCTGGAGCCAATCGACACACCATGACATATCACAGTAATGTACAACGTATAAACGTAGTATCCTCGTACACTCCACGTTTCTCCCTTCGCCGCTGTTCGCAGCCTCACCGACAAAGCATTTTAGCCGAATAGACCCACAAATGACAATATCAACCAGACCAGACCCGACCCCACATACACCCATCCAAATCCCTCATCCCCGTCCGTCCACACAGTAGGGAACCCGTTGAGATGCTGGCCTTTACAAGAACTACACGCACATATCTGCGTATAGATACTGTGTAAATACCAAACTTTCAAATCACGTGTCAAATGCCCACGAGCTATTCCAGCTCATCACATCCTCCGTGGCGCAATTGGCTAGCGCGTTCGACTGTTACACGATGTCTTATCTTTGTAGCGATATCGAGAGGTTGGAAGTTCGAGCCTTCCCGGGGGAGCTGTGATTTTTTTTTTCACGTTGAGTGGTGGGTGTGGGTGGGGAGGAGAGATGGCTTGGCTGTTTTGTCATGGTCTATGGGTATGTATGAATGAATGAATAATTCGATGTTCGGGTTGATGTTAAATTTTTTAATTCTTTAGGGGAGGATAGAGGGGACGTATACACAGGGGGGGGCCCAGCTTCAATGTTCACAGGACGTTCTGATGAATATCTGGAGAATGAGAAGATCTTTATTTTTTTTTTCAATTGAAAGTGTCCCAGAGATTTTCATTCGGGATTGCCAACTACGACCATGCAATCAATCCACACTACTAAACCCTCTCTCTGTATTGCAAAATCTACCTCTTCTTATTCCTCTTGGCCGCCCTCTTCTCACCCCTAACGTCCTTCTTCAACCTCGCATCCACCATCTTATACTTGCCCTTGGTGCCCTTGGGCCTATTCTTAATCCCCTTGTTACCTCCTCTCGCCACAATAACACTGACTTTTTGCTTTGGCTTCTTCTTCGCCGCACGACTCATCAAGCGCGCAATACTCTGTGCTTTTTCCTTCTCCGTCATGCCCTCCTCGTCCGCCAGCAGCGCAGATTTCTTCTTGAGTTTCTCCATGCGCTGTGCCGCCTTGAACTTCTTGCGTGCTTGGGCCTCGCGAACCTTTTTGATGGGGCGGGCGTTGAGGGCACGGAGTTTTTCTTTGATGGCGGCGGCGGCTGCGGCGGTGGTGGGGCGTTGGAGTTTGGAGTGGCGGTTTTCGTCGTCGAGGAACCAGTCTGGGAGGCCGTCGACGTCGCGGAGGGAGTAGCGGTTGAAGGAGTCGTCGAGGAGGTCGTGTTTGGTTTTTTGGCCGGTTGCCATTTGGTGGGCGAGGGTCATGGCTTCGGCGGTGATGATGTCGATGTCGGGTCGGCCGTTCTTCATGGGCATCGAGTCCTGCTCCCATTGGGTTTCGTCGCGTTTGACTTCTTCAATCTTGTCTTCGTCGTCTGAGGAGTCGTCGGCGGCGTCGGCGCGGGCTTGGATCGTTACGGATTTTTTGGTGGTGCGGACGGGGAGGTCTTGCGCTGGGGCAGGCGTAGTCTCATCCTTCATCTCAACATCGTCTTCCACGTCGATGCCACTATCATCGTCTTCCTCCAAATCGTCTAGTCCTTCCAAACCATCGATGCCTTTGAAGATATCCTGGTCGAAGAATCGCGCAGCACGCTTGGTCAGGCCTCTCTTCGTCTGGTCTTCGTTATCGAGGCTTGTGATCAAGGTCTTTGGCCCGTCCTCATCGTCACTACTCCAGTCGCTGTCCGCATCTTGAACAAGCTCCTCGTCATCGCTGACTTCTTTGTCATTGTCTGAAAAACCATTCCACTCGCCGTCCTCGTCTTCTCCTCTTGCTCGCTTGGCACGGTATTTCGCATCGCGAGCCGATCTTTGCTCAACGTAGTCACCATACATGGCGTCGAGATCTCGCTCCAAAGCGTCTTCTTCGTCGTCTGTGAACTCGTCCTCTTCGCTGGACTCGTCGGGCTTCTCGCGCTCGACAATCTGACCCATCTTGCCCCTTGCAATTCTTGATAGTGCGCCAGCCTTGTCGACAGCTTTCAGGGCGAACATGCCCTCATCACCAGTCGGTCCAGCTTGCTCCAGACCGATTTCGAAAGGGGTGGCCATGTTCATCTGCATACGGACAATCTCCTTTTGCTTTCGCTCGTTCTCGATACGTCGCTGCTTCTTCCTCGACTTGGAATCCTTCTCCTTCAGTCGCTCCAGCTCTTCCTGAATCTGCATCTCTTCGTCCATGTCCTCGATCTCTGCAACCTCATCGCCCTCTTTGGCTTCAGCTTCCTTGGCCTTCTCCTCCTCTTCCTTCTTCTTAGTGGAGAACCCAAAAATATCCCGCACCCTTAATCGCCAGCGAAGAAGGCGCTTGAAGTCGGCGCGACCCAAGACTTTGAGATCCGCGCAGCAGTCTCTGATTTCCTTGGTTGTCTCGGGAAGCTTATCGATGGTTGCGACTGCGATATCGCCATTGGGTTTCTGCTCGAAGCTGAGCTTATTCAGGCTGCCTAACATGGCAATGGGGTCTGTTGTCTGGATGAACTCTGACACGGGGACTTCCTTGAATTGTGTCCAGTCGCCCTCCTCGTAACCGTCACGCTTGCGCTTCTTCTTCTCGGGGTTGAAGACCTTGGCCTCATTGTTGGGAACGGCATCTGCGAGTTCGGCGAAGACGCTGCGAGGGTCCAAGAATTTGGGGTCGAGGTTCTTTGGAGCCTTGTAACCGCGGCAAACGACGAAGATTTCGGCGGAGACATTTCGACTGGATGGGGGCTTGGTGGCCTCGACCTTTGCGAAGAGCTGGTTGAAGACCCAGAGCAGCGAGTTGTAGTCCTTGGAGCGGAAGATCTTGGTGACGAAAGTTCCGCCCTCGGCCAGGAATTCAGTAGCCAGCTTCATGGATTGAAGCACGAGCTCAGCCTGCGAGAAGGCATCCTGCACCCAGGCGGTACCGACATTGGGCGCACCGTCGTGAAGGACAGCGTCGGCCTTGAGATGCTTGAGGTGTGATCGCAGCGTCGCTCTGCACTTGTCTGTGGTAATGTCGCTCTGGAAGGTGATGCAGCGTGGGATGGCCTTGATTGGGGCGAGATCGACACCGACGATGAGGGAGCCCGCGGGCATGACCTGCAAGCACTGTGAGCATGGCGACTCGAAGTGGTTGAATGCTAGATGAGATGCGCACCTCGGAAGCAACCTGACACCATGAGCCAGGCGCGGCGCAAAGATCAATCAAGACTTTGCTCTTCTCGAGGAAGTTGTATTTTTTGTTCAGCTGGATCAACTTGAAGGCCGCACGGGCACGGTAGCCCTTTTCCTTTGCGAGCTTGTACCATTTGTCGAGACGACCTTTTCCGTGCTGAAAGCTGGTTAGTCACCGTCACATTTGTATCGCGCCGTGAATGCGCACCTTCTTCTGGATCGCCATGTGTGCGGTTTGGCGGTTTGGCGGTGCGGCGGTGCGACGAGGCGTGCAAAAGTTGCGGCGTAAATTTTGGGGCAGCCGGCAATATCGCTAGGCGGTGGCAGAATGAATGCGCGCCCCGGTCCAGATCTGATAGGCACAGGCGCAGGGCACGGCAGGCGGCAACGTCATGCACCCATCGGCCATGGCCACCAGCGCGCCTGGTCCACCTCGGGAGCAGCGTGGACAGGCTTTTGCGCGCTTCCACCGGCCCATCATGTGCTGCTGATGCTCTCCTGCCATAGAGGCCGAACAGCCTGCTCTATCCCTTGATCTCCCGTTCCATAGCAATGAATCCACGCAAGAAGGCAAAGCCAAACACCGAGACGCCCGCCGACGACAGCAGCAGCGTCAGATCGGCTGTCCCTGGCGATGCACATGCCGCCCAAACGCCCTCAAGCACGCCGAGCGCCAGCGAAATCCTCCCAGATGCATCCTCAGACACGACATTAACCGCTTCGGCCGCGACGACAAGCAGTAGTGCTGCCAGTGCCGCCAGTGCCGCCAGTGTCACGCCTTCAGGCACCCAGACCCCAAAAGGCAAGAGGTGGCTGTCAGGCACAGGCAGTTGGCGGTCAAAGGCCCCCGCCATAGTCAAGACAGCAGCAGAGACCATCGGCGTGACTGCAGGCTCTACGGGCGAGCTGCCTGGCCAAGAAGCCAACAAGTCGAGAGACGACTCGCCCAAACGCTTTCTCACAAAGCGCAAGTCCAGCAAGGGCGACGTGATTCCCGCCTCCATCACGCAGGTTAGCGTATCCACGGGCGGCATGGTCGACGAGGCGCCCAAATCAAAGCCAGAAGAACCACCGGCCACAGACGAGCCCAGCCTCAACGAACCCCCGTTGCCCCCTGAGCCAGCGAAAGCGCACGCCGACACAACAGCGAACACATGGGCATGGCGGAGCTGGTGGTCACGGCCGGATGGCTACTCGGAAGCAACAAAGGCGACGAGCGAGGCGCAAGATAGCGTCGAGAATGCATCGAGCACGCCCCTGCCCGGCCCAACACCATCAGAGGAACCAGACATTACCGCAAAAGGGCTTGGGAGCTCAACGACGAGCCAGCAGGCGCAGGATACCGAGATGAAGGATGCGCCGCCAGAGCCAGTGCCTGGACAGGATACTGACATGGTGGATGCGCCTGCTACCACCAATGGAGTGACCCCAAAAGGTACATCAAGTGGCTCGTGGTTCAGGCTTTGGAGCAGTACGCAGAACGCCAAAGCCAGTCCTACCGCAAAGACTGCAGCAACTACTGAAGCTGCACCAAGGTTGGACCACATCTCTGAGGCGGCACCCGAAGTGGCCCCTGAGACACAACCTGCGCAGGACGTCCCCTCGACTGCTGAGCTAGCCAAGACTGATGACACGACACAAACCGCTACTCCTACTCAGGGAACACCCAAGTCGTCTGCGTGGGCGTTCTGGTATAGAGACACCCCTGCCGATAAGAATAAGCCCGCTGAAGGGGGCGCTCAGAAGCATGTTGGTGAAGTGGCAGTGATGGATACACCATCTCAGTCCCATCCAGAAGCCGCTCAGTTCAATGAGCAGGAACAGCCAAAAGCAGACGTGCCAAAGGAGCCCACAGCACCCAAGGCAGAAAAAATCACAAAGAGGTCGTTTGCCTCCTTACGTGGGCGACCCAAGTCACAAAACATCACCAAGGAAATGAAGGGCACACCAAAGTCTAGCGAAACCACTACACCTACCAAGACTTCGCCAGTAATCGAGCCAACTCGTCCAGAGGCTGCACCAGCGGCAGAGTCTGCATCCAAGCAGGTTGCGAAGATCAAGCCGAAACCGACAGATCTAGTTCTTCCGGAGTTCAGTTCTACATATAAGATGGTGCAGCAACCCAGCTTTTGGAAGCAAATGCGACAATACTTCCTCGGTGGCGAGCCTGCTACACCACATTTGCACATCAACCCAGCACCGCCTAGAATCAAAAAAGCTGTAGCCATTGGTGTGCATGGGTTCTTCC